TATTCTTTTTCTTTTATTGATGCCTGTATTATTTATGTTGGTTGTGTTGATGAAGGTCCAATTCTTGGGCACATTTGAAATGGGGGTAGGCCTGCAAATATGTTCCCTTGACCATGGTAGTCCATCTCCCATTTCTTAAGCATGCTAACCACAACTGCATTGTAGTTATCATGGATCTGATATTGTCTTTGGTGCTAAAGCATCAAATAGTTAACAATATATATTCTGTATTCTAGTCCTATAAATTGCCGCTTAAAGTGCTCAACATAAACCCTGATATGAACAACTCTATCTTGAAGGTCTTCCACCAAGTCTCCTTGTGTCCGAAGATCTCTACATAGCTGGTTGGGTTGGTTTGGCTGGCCAGATCCCTCTTCTTTCTATGATACAGAGATTTTGAAAGACATGATCTTGGACCTACTTAGGGAAGAAGAAGGCATAATATGCTCCTTCTATGGGTTTCTTACTACTCTAGCTGCTCACAAAACTCATAGATATAACTAGGATGACCTAATTGTATAAAAGTTACCTTTTAAGCATATAATTGGTAAAGTGAATGAATATCTTCCCAAATTTAATAATCATTTATTTTTTAATAAAAAATTTATTACAACCCTATCCTTTATCAGCTCACTTATATTTTATTTAGGCATAAGCTTCATAGAAATGAAATAGTGTCAGGCTTTGGATTACTGGGTGAGGGCCGATGTAGAGAAATTAATAATTTTATTCTCTCTTATCTTCCATTGGGCATTTAAGTCTCTCCAGATAAGGAACCTAATTATTTCAATATAATCTACAGTAGTTATATATAAATTTAGGTACTCATCACCATTAAATTAAAAGTCGAGGTTTGAAAACTTGGTTTATAGAAATAGGAATAAAGGGGGCCCACTTACCCTAAACATAAACCCACTTTCTTGCTCATCTTCTTCTTCCTCAATACTTTCTCATTCTAATAAATTTTCTTTAAGATCTTCTACTAATACATCCTCTGAATCCACTCTAAGGAAATCTTCCTTCATTTATTGAGAAAATTTTATAGATTTTAATAAATTAATTGTCACCTCCTTGTCTTGAATTCACATTGTTAATTCTCCCTTTTGAACATCAATCATGCCTTTCCCTGTTCAAATGAAAGGTATTTCTCCATCTTCTTTTATGTCTAAAATAATAAAATCAATAGAAAAAATAAACTTATCACCCTTTATCAGAGCATACTTTATTATTCCTTTCAGATAAATAAAAAATATATCCTCCAATTGAAGAGTAACAAAAGTAGGTTTAACCTCTCCTATATCTAACCCCTTTAGGATGGATAAAGGCATGATTTTAATACTAGATCCTAAGTCACATAAATCTCTCCCACTTAATTTATTGCCAATAGTTATAGGAATAATAAAACTTTCATGATCCTTAAGTTTTTATAGGAATTTTCTTTGTAAAATGACACTACATTCTTTGGTTAGTGCCTCTATTTCATAATCACAAATCTTCCTTTTCTTTCTCAAAATATCCTTCATGAATTTAACATAAGTGGTCATTTATTCTAAAGCTTTATAGAAGAGAATATTAATGGTTAATTGTTTAAACACTTATAAGAACTTTGAGGCCTTTTTGTTAAGATTTCTTTTGATCAACCACTCAGGGAAAGGGGGTGGTGGTCTCTCAAGAACTTTTTTATAAACCTTTTTAGGTTCTTTAATAGGTTCAAGTTGTTAAGAAGATGTCGTGTTTTCTTGCTATTCCTCTCTATCATCCTTATTCTAGGGTTTATCTTTCCCTTTATATGGGTCTCCTAACCCTTTACCACTTCTAAGTTGGATATTATGACATTGTTCAACCCAGTTTTGATAATGAATTAACCTAGCCAATTTCCCTATTTGATCTTCAAATTTTTTAGAGCATTAAATTGATTATTTATTTGTATTTTCAACTATACATTAATATTTTCCAAGGATTCCTTCCTTTTCCTTTTATGATATATTTTTTCAAAATTTATGGGGCTAATTAGGGACAATGTGCCAAATTGAAGAGTGAAGAGAGAGAAGGTCAACAAAAATAGGAGGGATTTTGGAGGATTTTGGCTGCTTTTGTTGAAGATGGTAGAGGGTGGCCGGTCATCCTTGGATGGCCAAAACACCTTCTCCTTGTTATCTACCGCGAGTCCAGTTTTGTTGGATTCGAAAGGTAGATTTTTGTTCAAACGCAGCATCTCCCACAATTCGTGTTTTTTGAATTCTCCTCTTGTGATAAGAGAGGGAGGTTTGGCTTCTAAGAAAATGAGTTTGCTGGATTCAGGCAAAGGAAAAGGAGTTATTCCTTATTTGAATAGTAAGTCAATTTCATCTAAGTCGGATTTTATCCCTCCTACTAATGATTGGGAGGCTTCTTCTTCTAATCCTCCTTCAGAAATGGTTAATTCTAATGTGTGGATTAAAAAACCACATATTAAAATTAATTTGAATGAAATTCATGATGATAATGAAGATGAAAATGTTGTCAAGCTTGATTTGGAAAAAGAAAAAGCCAATGTTCAAATTTTGAAAAATTCATTAGTGTTGAAAATATTATATAAAGACTTGCCCTTTTCAAAATGTTCGATTGAGTTAAGGAAGCAATGGAGTAAATTTGGAGGTTTTCATATAACCTCACTTGGGTTAGATTGGCTTTTGTGTTCTTTTCAATCATATGAAGCATTGGAAGAAGTTTTTAATGGAGATCCTTGGTTTGTTGTGGGATTTTTCATTGGTGTTGACAGATGGTCACCAAAATTCAATCCTATTTCTATGGATGGAATTTCTTCTCCTATTTGGGTTCGTTTATCTCATTTTCCTATGCATTGCTGGGATGAAACCAATATCTCCAGAATTGCATCTAGAATCAGAACCCCGTTATTATTGGATGGCAATATGTTTAGATGGGGAAGGAGGGAATTTTCAAGAGCTTGCATTCGAATTAAGTTGAATTCTAAACCCCTTGTGGTATTTGGATTGAAGGTCTTAATGATAGATTTTATCAAAAATTTGAATGTGAAAATCTATCATCTATTTATTTCAAATGTGGAAGAATTGGACATAGAGATTTTGTTTGTCCAAATTCTTATAATACTAATTTGGTTGATAAAGAAGTTCCTACAAGTTCTTCTCAACATGATGAGAACTCCTTTGGGCCTTGAATGCATGTGAAGTTCAAGAACAAAAGAAGTCAAAAGATCTTTTCTAATAAATCAGTTTCCAAAGATTATCCAGCTAATTGGATTTTGGGTAGAAATCCTGTGATAGAGCACATCTCAGATCCTGGTTTTACAAATAATCTTAATATATTATCTTCTAATAAAAGTGATTACATGGCAGCTGAATTAATCAAGGATGCTGATTATTATATTGATCAGATCCAAGATATTAATCTGACTTGTCAAATTAATTCAGTTAGACCAATCTTAGATGAGCCCATTCAGAATTTGAATTTTGAATTCCATATTTTGGTTGTTGATCCGTTGGGAGCTACTTGCAATGTACCTATTTTGGATGCTGATCTAATGGGAGCTCATGAATCAGAAAATGGATTCAATCAAAATTTAAATTCTGAATTCAAAAATGCTAAAATTGTGGATGAAGTTAAGGGAACTGTTTGTAATGAAGCTGATCCGTTGGAAGCAGTTTCTACCGAAACCATTTATTTTGCTGGTCTGTTGGGAGCAAACAAATCAGATTTTGAATTCAATATTTTGGATATTCAGGAGGAAGTGAAAGATGCTATTAATTCTGAAATAGAATTGGCAGTTGTACCTACTTTAACTTTTTTAGCGACTGAATCAAAGGTGGTTGATAAACATAATTCAACTTCTCCTACTACTAATTCAACAAGATTTTCTAAAATGAAAGAAAGTATTTATGGTTTGAGAGATATTTCTCCTCCTTCTGTGATTAGTTTGAATTTTAAAAAAACTATTTTTAAGAAAGGAAAAAGTTTTTCTACTAAGATGAGTGGTTCTTCCAGTTCTAAGCACATATTGTTCAAAGAACTTCAAGCCTTAGGACCGGTGAAAGATCTACCTAGAAGAAGGTTGGCTGAATTCAAAATGAAGAATGTTAAGAGAGGTTCTTATCTTTATCTCATTAATATGCAAGCTGGTTTTCTCTTTGCTATCAACAAAGTGGAAAGATACTTGAGTATGGAGCAATTTATCAAAGAGTTTGTCATAATACTAGCTTTGAATTACGACTTTGTAAGTTGGAAGTAACATTTGGAAAATCTATTAGTGATATTCTTAGGTGGTTTTTGGAAGTCTTTGAAAATTTGTATTTTCCATTTTAGCTTTTGTTACTTATTTTTTCTTTTAGTTTGTTATTTGTTTTTTAAACTTATTCTAATTGCTTATGGGATCGATACTAAGTCCTATTCTTTAACCGGGTGGGAACTCCAGGATACTAACCAACCCTCGGGTTGTTTAAAACTTTGGTATTCCATGCATCTCAACGATTTTAAAATAGGAAATAGTGGGTTTCATTTCAATTATAATATGTTTTACTTTAACAAATTTTCTTTCAATTAGGTTCCTTTTTCATGTTGATAAAGGAACCATTAGTTTCTTCTTTCTAGTTCGTATTAGGTTGTTTTTTCTTTCATTTTAATGCATTAATTTCATTTCTTCAGAAAAAAAAATCTATGGGGAAGTGCTGCAACACTACATATCTTGGCGTGATGGTACTATATCTCCTAAGATCACAATTAACCTTCAATTAATCCAATTTCTTATAAATAATAGAAACTTGAGCAGTCAAAATAGATAAAGAATCATTTCATAAACTCTGGCCACTATCTTATTCACCCTATTAGTAGGTCACTGAAAATTATTTGTTGTCATTTCTTCAATTAATTCATAAGCATCTTCAAAAGGCTTTGACATCAAAGAACATCATGTTGCAGCATCAATTATGGCATATATGGATCCTACCAATCCATTGTAAAAAGTTTGAATTATTAACCAATCAGGTAGGGCATGGTGAGGGCACTTTCTAAACATCTCCTTGAATCTCTCTCAACTCTCATAAATAGATTCTCATTCTAACATAGTAAAAAAAGTAATATCATTTCTATGCTTGGCAGTCATAGAAGGTGGGAAATACTTTCCTAGAAATTTGTGGGCCAACTCATTCTATGTAGTAATAGAGCCTGTAGGTAAAGAATTTTGCTATATTTTTGCCTTCTCTTAGAGAAAGTGGAAACAGTCTAAGTCTAATAGCATCATCACTAACATCATTATATTTAAATATATTAAAAATTTCTAAGAAGCTTGCTAAATGTAGGTTAGGCTCTTTAATGGGAGTTACCCCTAAATTAAGAATTTTGTATCATTTAAATGATTACAGGTTTTAATCTAAAATTATTTGCTTGGATGGTGAATTTATTTATACTTTAGTAAATTCTATCTACTAAAGGGTTTGTAAAATCCTTAAGAGGTCTATAATGATCTAAGTGTTAAATAGGGTCAACTATTTAGTGATAGATTATAGTTGGATGGTGAACATATTTTCTTTAATATAAAAAATTATAAAAACCCCACTTAATATATGCAAGTTACATACTGAATCAAGTAATTTAGTGATAGATTATAATATCAATCCCATGAAGAAGATTATTTACTTGTAAATATATGTACTATCTACTTCAACTACATCTATTATCCTGCTCAATAAAAATAAGTTTTTATGGTGATCCAATCACTTAATTTAAAATAAAAAATAATTAAATGAAAAACTATTGGAATAATTTTTTTTATTGATAGAATGTAACAATAATACATTTCCTAATGAATCTCTTTTATATTATTGTTATTAAGAGTATATGCATCACCGACTACTTAGTCAAGCATGAAGAGATAAATGATAGATTAAACTCTTCCAAAGTCAATACTACTCTAAACTCTCATAGTCTGTCACCTTATAAAAATCTTAGAAGAGTAAGTAAAACATGTACTATTAAATCTCTCTTGTGATAATTCTTCTATATAAATTTGATACAATACAAGAACTATACCTATTCTTGTAATATACTGATCCAACATTCTAGTTTTTCCTACTTTCCTCTTCCTAGGCTCCATATTACACCTGATATTAACTACATATATGACCACTATAGATATTAAATGATGATCTACTATATTTAAAATATCATGAAGTTATTGGTTAAGAGACTTATTAGTACTCCATATTTCATTTACACCATCAATCCAAAACTACAAAATTTATCCAGACATGAAGAACAAGTGAAGCATATTTATTCTTATCAAATTCATAATAGAAAGAAAGAACAAAAGAAAATATATCACTAGATGGGTTTAATGATCTCCTCTACACTCCTCTTGGAACTTATAGAATGGCTTCCATAAACATAAGACAAACACTCTAATGGAATGTATCTAGTAGTTCTTTAAATTTCTTTAGTTTTTACTCCTAAGAAAAACATTAGAGAAGTACTATAAAAACTAAATTTAAATAAGTGACTGAAGTCCTCTACTAACATTATAAACAAACTATTTATATAAAAATATAAAAAATGTAGTCTAGCACTATGGTGCTCAAGGCATTTGTGCCTTGACACCCATAAAATGAACTAGTGCCACAATGTTGAAGGGTTTTCTCCATTATGACACTTGCTAACATAGATCTACAATTTAATGAATTAATATGTCACTTTACAGGTAAAAGATTCCTTGAACAGTTACAACTGTAGCTCCATGATGTTTGTTGAGCACTATTATGTAACACGACACTCCCTTAAATTTGTTGCACTGGAATTTGGCTTTAAGGTGCTGCTGTGCAGACATAGACTAGGCTTTACGGTGCTGACTCATCTGACACTGTGGTGCTGGGATAGTTTGTTGGGCTTTACAGTGCTGATTCCTCAGATCTTGTGGCACTATCAAACAATGATGGGGAACCACCAATTCTATATTTGGGCACTCTAGTGATCTCAATGATGGTGCCGTAGTAGTATTATGTATGATGCTGTGGTGCTATACCATACTTTAAAATTTTTCTCCTTTCCTATTTTTCTTACACAAATATACCTAAAATAATATATTTCCATTGACAAATTAATATATAGTACATAACATTATTTTCACTTATCATCTACCCCGATTAGTCATAATATCTCTGGCACTCCAAATCTAAAAATTATTATTTTATTTAAAAACTTAATTACTATCTTGTTAACCTCATTGTTTGTTAAGGTTATTGAAATTTCAAACCTTAAAATTCATTTTAGGTTAATAGTAAATTAATATTGTGAATAAAATCAGTTTGCCTTATGTTAGGAGGTAATTTGGTGTTATTTTGCTTATCTAAATTTTGTGATGCTCTCCCTTCTGATGTTGTCCTTATCGTGGTTTGCTTGGTTGGCCTTTCCCTAGTGTTGGTTTTTTACTGGTGCTTTTCTTAGTGGGCATGCTCTTTTTCATATTTCAGGAATGGTGTTGCATGTCTTAGTTAATTACTTTGGGTTTTTGGGGCTGAGCTGTGATTGCTCTAGCTTCTCTTTGAAGGATATTCCAGTTGTTGCTCTCCTTCCTCCTACTACTGTGTTGGGAATTTGCTCTGCCTAGCTCATTTAGTGGTGGGTTTTATGGGGGTTTTGGTAGGGGCTAGGCATTTTTGGTTGATGTGTTGGATTTCTTCAATTTTTGGTGCGTTGGTTGTTTTTTGGTGATTTGCTTGGTTGCTTGGGGTGTCTCTTCTTTCTAGTTTAGCTGGTGTTTTTGAGGGTGTTTTGTTTGGGTTGTTGTTGTTTCCCTGGAGGCTGTATAGGTTTTCCTGGGAAGGTAATTATACTTCATATTATGTTTTTTTTTTTTTTTTTAGGTTTGCCTCTTTCTAGGTGTGGGTGGATGAATTATTTATATCCTTATTTTGGTGCTTATTGGAGCTTATTTCTTGGGGGTGGTAGCCTTGGCTGGATGGTTGGATGGAGTGGCATTTGGCTTATCTTAAAGATGTTTGTTGGGTCCATTTTACCTTTCTATCCTGAGCTCATTCTACCCACACCCTTTATGTCAGTGCTTTGGTCATTTTTGTTTTGCTATTATTTTTTTGATTATTTCTAATCCTTTAGTGTGCTGGATATCCTTTGTGATTAGTTGCATATCCTGGATGAGTTTTGTTGGGAATATGCCGAGGCTTCTTGTTAAATCTTCTCGGGTGGTATGTATTTTAAGGGAAATTTAACTTCCTACTTTTTGTGCCATGGCTTTATTCTATTAATGCTGGTTGGTTTTCACTCTAGGGTGGATATGGGTATTAATAGTCTCGCTATTTTTAGCTCTGTTTTTCGCCTTACTTCTTGGGTGGCTATGATCTATGGTACCATTATTGCACATTTGGGATTTTACGATTTTGGTATGTGTTCCTATTCTTTTTCATGTTATTATACTTGGAGAATGTAGCTACTGTTTGGTGGATAGCAATTTAGAGAATGGTAAAAGATGCTTTAGCTCTGTTAGAATTTATATTGTGGATAACTGTTGGGATGATTTCTCTACATTTTGCTTTAATTATTGTTATTCTTATCATGGGTTTCAGATTTTTTTATAGAATTTTATTTTTGTAGGTGCTTATACTAAGCTCCTTTTGGTTTGGAAGATGGAGATGGGTATTGCTTTATGGTTCTCTCCTTATTTTTGGGTGCCCTTATTTTATATTGTCTTGTAATTTTGCTTTGCAGGGACCCTGTGCTCCTAGAATTTTTTAGTTTTCTTTTTGTAGCTCATTTGAGGTCCCTTTGAAGACCATTTAATTTTTTTTGGTATTAACATGTAGGCCCTTTTGAGGGTTTCCCCTAAAAAAAATTAATAAAGTGTTACATGACTTGGTCAAGAAGTCACAACCCGCCCTAAGTCTCCTTCCCCTTGCCCATCAATCATCTCCTCAAGCTTGCTCAATCATATATTTAAATCCTTATGATCCATTTAGATCAATATAGTACCAAAACTATTTTAGGTAACTCAAAGACATTTAACCAATCCTAAGTGACCCTGTTTGACCATCAGATGACACCATATATTCTTTCATATCTAAGACACCTTACCTTATTGACTAGTGTGAAAGTTTGTTAGGGATGTTAAGCCCTATGGACTTAGTCCCAAGCTAACCAAGAGGGGGGGGGGGTAATTGGTATTTAAAAAATTCTTAAGACAAAGAAAGAAAATCACAAACCAAATCACACCATCTTCAGCCAATAATCGCCTGCCGATCGATACAAAACGCAGGCATCCCCTGAACTTCCTTGGACGAGTGAATATTACTGATCGTCGGGCGCATCTCTACGATCGTCCTGGCGATTCAGTTCAATATCAGACTGAATCTCGCTAGTCGCGCGTATTTTGATTCTCAATAATTATGTCTGAATAACTTAAGGATTGAATGTCGACTGGCGCGATCTTCACGTTCCAGACGAATTCGTTCATCTCCTTAATTATTCTCTTGTTTCTTCATACATAATTTAATTTGTCCAGGCTAATCCGATGTCGACCTAATTAAAAATAGCATATACCTTAATGTTAAGCGGAACTTTTCTGTTTGACTATATCCTGCGATACACGTATCTCCAGGCCGATGTGTTAATGAACGTCTCCTTTAATAAATCCAATTTTAGACTTGTCTTATTTTAAGCTGATCGTCGAGTATATGAATATCGCTGGCGATGTGGGGGCAAAAACAGAAATTTAAGTCCTCAAGTGGTGTTGTTTGTAGCTATAGGCTCAGTCTCTATA